AATTTATCCCCTGGAAACAGCTAAGCAAGGTCATCACCTCTGTTACTTCAGAAATATTCTCTTCACATGTAAAGGTTTCATTAGCTGATTTACTCTTACGTTTAAAACATGCCCTGTCCTGTCTTTCTGCTACTATCATTTATGCCCTAATGCTCAGATTATTTATGTTTAATGAAGGAAGCAGAAAAGCAGCTTTTAACTCTGACAGTTTATCCCTCCTCTTTCTTCATAATAAAAGACAGAGGTTGGCTAAAATTCCAAGTAGGAGCAACAAGTTTCAAAATTACTGTTCTCATACATACAACTGCCATTCCCACAAGCAAAAACCGAAACAAACCCCCCAAAAATCCCAAGTTCCAATCATGTTATAGCAACTTCACTCTCTTGCTAACTCCTTCCGGGATCCTGCAGGATCGAATTCAAAGAATTTGAAGGCACTGGCCTCCGTGAAGTGAACTAGAAAACTACCACTGCTTTTAAGAGGTCATCTTGGAATCTGTCCAAGAATAAAATCCTTCATAGCATGCGGAGCACCTTGGTCACATAGAGAGCAAGTTCAATCACCCAGTAGTCCAGTGAGTTATTGTGTAACAGCAGGACTCCTGAGACAGCTGGTGGGAGACTTGTTTTCAGGCAGTCTGTTCCCTTCTATCCCATTCTTTGAACATTGAATCAAAATTTGTACAAGAGTTTTCAGACTTTTTTTCCTGCCCTCTGCTGGCAAGAGGCTGGGGATTAAAAACACAGATCAAGAATGTTAACAGAAAACCAAGAGACATTGCCCAGTGTAGTCTGGTTTTCCATTTCATATCACCTGATTTAAGGTGAAGCAAGAGGGAGCATTCATTTAAGCAGCTGTAATGAAAAAAGATTGATTGAAAAGTCATTTTTGCTCCATTTCTTATGGAAAAGAGTCCCAGGTGTCTGTTTTCCTTATATTTTCTTTTTAATGGCTGTTCCCTATTCAGCCCATAAGCTTCAAGGTCAGCTTCAGGTCAAATTACACTTAGCACAAGATGCTCAGCATCTGCAAACTCAGCTGTGCTCTCTTCCTCCCCTCTTGCACTGGGTCTTCCATTCTGGGCTCCCAGCTTGGCAAACTATATAAGAGTAAAATGCTCAGGGTACACATTTTCATTTTTGCATTTAGATGGCATGGTGGATGCCACACTGGCAAATGTGCTAGAAAGACGACAAATGACATCCTACTAATGGAACGTGCTAAGTCTATGAGGAAAGTATATGTTTAAGTACATCTAGACATGCTTAGGCTTGGAATTCCTGACTGTTGACAGAAACCAAAGCATACAGGGCAAACAAACATGGTAGTCACCTCATGTCTCCTACAACTTTCCATGCACATGAGTAGGTGAGGGACAGTGGTTTATCCCCCACAAAGAAAATAAAATTTAGCAGGCAAAGGACAGAAAATAAGACTGTAAGAGTATTGGGTAAAACATTCCTATTGCCAGGTCTTGTATAAAATCCAAGCCTTTGGAAAGCTGACTTATCACCAGTGTTTAGAGGGTAGGAATTTGTACACATTTTACACACATTTGTGCATACTACATACATATATAAGCATTATCTGACATCTGACCCTATCTGTAAGAATTAATAATTCACTTGCCTTAACAGCATAATGTGGAAGACAAAATAGCATAAATTTTCTTAAATAAAAATACTGGGGGGTAAGAAAATGAGGAAAAATATCTAAGAAAGGAAAAGACTCTAAAACCACAACTTCAGAAGAACGTCTCAAAAAAATCTAAACCACCCATGAGAGATGAGTTCAAGCTGTAAGATGAATTCACTGTTTTGCGTTGCACTATAAAAGCCCTTCAGGGGCAGCGGTGACTCCAGTTGGTTAGAAAATGGTCTATAAGAGCAAAGTGAAAACAACAGAGTCCTCTTCATTCTAGACGCTACTTTTACTTACTCATCCTCAAACATGACACCAGCATCAATGCTCATGATGACCGTCACAGCCTGAGGAGGACTGTACCATCCTACCTTTGGATGTAAAGGGTACTCACGCAAACGTACTCTCTGGTGACTAACTCTCCATCTCTGTCCTTGAACTTCACTACAAGCAGTTAAGAACTATTGGGAAAACTTCCTAAAAAGGCTAACCTGAAGCATTGTAATAACTCTTGAAAGACCAAAACGGAAACAAAAGGTTCTTAATCCATCTCTCTATGAAGAGGCCCCTCTGGGGTTTTGTCTGCCTTACAAGGAAGTGAGCTACAGCTCACCAGCTGTGCCATGTGTGAAATATTACAGCACTTGGTTTTGACTGCTGGATGAGGTGCCTAATGATTCTGGGGAGGTTTGGGTACTGCTGCAAGCACTCCACAGCTGTAGTGAGACAGAGGTGTACATCCAAGTTTATAATACTTGTACATCTGCAGGAATACAGGGTATTTGTAGCCAAAATTCAGTTTTAAGTGAATTCTTCATAATGGACTATGAAGAAGGATGACACTGAAGCAATACAGCTCTGAATGGGTAGATGACCTTAGGGTCTTTTCCAAAAAGAACACAAAGATTCTTGCTTAGATTTAATCCACAGGTAAAATTGAGGCACAACGGACCAATAGACAGGACCAAGTAAGTCCTAATATATCAAGGCTAGACAACTTGCAGCTCCTCAGGGTATTTTGCCTAATCAAAAAATGTAAGATGTAACAGGGAGTTCCTGTCAGGCCCCAGGAAGCTGGTGTTTGGACTACACATAGTTCTATATCCTTAGCAGAGAGTAAGCCAAAGAAGGTAGGAAGAGACTCGGCTAGCTCAAAGACAGGTAGAAAAATGAGTAAGGAGCTAGTTATAAGCTTAGAGCTTTAAAGAGAAAGGCAGGGCCTGAACTGAATGAAACCCAAAAAAAGATGAAGATCAAAAAAAAAGGAACCTGTAATGCATTATCTTTTCCCCTATTGGCTGATTCTCCAGGCCTCAGCAGTCACAATTCTGCTCTTCCATATACGAGATGCTGCTTGCACCTGGGAAACCTTTGGGATTAACTTCCATATCTTAATACTTCAGGAGGTGAGTATAATCAAACATTCAAGAAGAAATCTCTTTACCAAAAAAAAAAATCCTGGCATGTTCCATGGTCTGGCATTTGGATATTAAATCTGCAACACCTGACTGCCAAAATGCTTCCCAAGACTCCAGAAATACAGCTCCTTGTTGTACCCTCAACTTGACTGCCAAAGGGATCCTTTTTATCCCTTGACTGTCCCGCACAAAAGTTTCCAAAGATGGAGCAAGCATCCTGTTTCACGTTTGGCAATGTTAGAAACAACACTGCAATGGCCTTGAAATGTTTGCCACTTCTACTTGTCTTGACACTAATTATACACACAAGGCAGCTTCATCTGCACTGGGCAGAATGGCTCAATGCGCAGCGGAGCTCAGTGCCTTCAGATCCGTGCATTTCCAAGCGAGTCAAGCGTGCATTATAACTGCAGTCACAGCAAGTTTCTGGATGTGTTTCTCCAAGACTGATCCCTCCTTTTTCTTTTTCTTATTTCCCTCTCCCTTCCTTTTTGGTTTTGATTTTTCCTACAAAACACAAAGTTTCTCTGAAACAATCAGAGCATGACTTCCATCCAGTTGTTTAATCAGGCTAAGTATGCCATCCACTTTTCACATTCCCTTTTTTTCCCTTTTGAATAAACTCTCCATTATCAAAATAAAGTAACGTCATATACAAAGTACCACCTCAGCAGCACGCCTCAGCTCTCATTTCACATGGCTCTGCCAGCAGTCGTAAACAGAATCAAAGTATCCAATTAAAAATCCATATTCATTAACAAACATCATGTGTGCTATAATGCCCTGTATTGACTATGCCACCACAGGAGATGGGAAACTTGCTGAGTTTTCCTGCTCTTAATCCAAAGCACTGTTTTATCAGAGGAGGAGTTTTACCTTTGCTACACAGGCCAGCAAGAAGAGGCCCAGTGTCCTGTTAACCCATCAGGCTGGGACAGCCGAAGTGACAGCTGTTGACCTTTTGCCTTCAAAAAGTGCCAGACAAGAACCTTGCCAGGATGAGGAGCACACAGAGAAGACCACAAAACTGTGCCAGACCTTTCCTGCCGAGGTCTTTAGGTACCAACAGGGCCAGTCACAAACCAATCTGCAGCATTACAAGCAGCCAACGTAATAAACTCTGCATATGCTTGATTGATGCAACTCATTGCCTAGGCAGGGCCAGATCCAAGCTGATGTAGTAAATGAGCACATTGCCTTGGCTTCAGGGAAGTTACATTGATTTACACCGTCAACAATTTACCACCACAGAAAGTCACATACCATAAGTACAATATTTCAGACCTACACAATGAAGTTATATGAACACAAGTCAGGATTATTTATTTATTTGTACCCACAAGCCTGAGATTTACAGTTCTTTATAAATATGAGCTGGGCAATTTGCTTTCTATTTTTAGCA